TCTCACACACAAGGGCCTGTGCTAGGCACTTGCCTAATTGGTAAAAACAACCCTGACACACAGATTTGACTGCCTCTGCTTCACAGCAACAACTGAGGCTTCCTGAGGCCTCCCAGGCATCGGCGGCGGCGGTGGAGCTGGGGCTCACAGCCAGGTCTGCTGGCTCCGGGCCGGAGCCTCGTGGACGACCTTGTGGAGGCTCCCTGCCCGGCAGCCTGGACCACCTTCCAGCAGCGGCCTGGGCAGCTCACAGCACAACTCACTCACCATGTGCCGGACCACAGCCGCCTGGGCCCAGAGCCTTCCTCTGCCTCCGGGCCCAGCCCTTAGAGCAGCCCTCCCCACCTCATGGGGATCCAGTGAGACAAAGAGAAAAACCGGCCAGCCCAGAGGCACCAGCAGCCTCGGGCGCTGCCAGGGGCAGTGGGAGCACCAGACTGATGTGCCCTCTAGGCAGGTGTCCGAAGCCTGGGAAACGCTCCTGAGGTTTCTCTCTCGATACAGATTCCAGAAAAACGACAACAGGACTCAGAAGCCACGCCGAGGGTGGACACAGGGGGCCTGCTGCGTTCACTCTGCAAACAAGGCTCCATCTTCAGGATTCTACCCGTTAAGACCTCAACTGCCTCTAGTTTTTTCACATTTAAAATGTAACCGCTCCCCGGCCATGCACAGACTGGCCGGGACACCTGCACAGGCCCCGGCTCACTGTCCCCCCGGCAAGTCCACCTGCAAAGAAAGCCCCAGCACATGCCCTTCCTCTCAGTAAGATGCCAGGAGGCGACGGCTTTACTGGCCCAAACAGCCGGCGTCCGTGAAGCGGGGCGCCTCGCGAGCACGCGCTTCTTCTGGGGAAACGGTGGAGCCCGTACGACGGCGGGCGCCTGCTGAGATACTGCCTTCAGATCCAATCAAGGCCCTCCCACAATATGGCCCCAGTCTCACTTTCTACTCATTTCTCACTCTCCCGATGCAAACTCTACACCCGGCAGAGGCCCAGTGACCTCGGCGCTTCCAAGCCCACGCCTTTGTGCACGCTATTCTCTTCATCCCACTACCTTCCATCTGGTTTTAAGCCAACACTGGCCCTTTAACTCCACGTCAAATCCCACTTCTCTGTGCATTTCCTGAAGCCCCTTCCTCCCGCTCACACGTCCCCGAGGCTGTTCTCTCTCCACCTGTCCCGCCATCGCAGAGCGCAGCGCACTCATCTTCCTCAGAGATGAGTTCTGCTGGCGGCTCCCTGCCCGGCAGCCTGGGCCAGAGGCCGCGTTCCCTGCTGGACTGGAGTGAGGCGAACTGCTCTGGAAACAAAGGTGGCGAACAGGTGCCCACACACACAGTGTGGCCTCTGCGGGGCCTGCCGCTGTCCCTCCCGGTTCCCGCCGGTGGCTTGCGCCCGGCACAGGCTCCCACACTAGCCCCCTCAACGGTCTTGCCTGGAGATAAGGTGCTGCAGGAGCTGCCTGCCCGCGCCCACAGGAAACTGGGATTAGCTGTGATATACATGCTCTGCAGCTGCAACCAGAACAGAGCCGGCCAGGCATGCAGTCCACAGACTGCTTCATGGACGTGCCAGCTGTCCTGCTCCCCCTCGCAAGAGCTAAATTCATCTCCCGCAAGTGTTCCTGGGAGACAGGCCCCGTCCCGTCCACCTCAAAGGCAGCTTTCTCCCAGCCAGAAGCCTGCAGGGTAGCCCTGCAACATTCCCCGGTGTTTACCACCCTCTGAGAAACATTCTTCTGCCCAGCTAGGCATGCCACAGGCGCGGAGAAGCACTCGGTACATACTTCAGTTACTCTGCAACAATGCTCGTGGGAGACCTGAATGCTCTCCCCACCAACCTGCTTCCTGACCCCCTCACCCTCGCCTCACCATCCTGGGGATGTGGGTGGGCAGAAGATTCTGCTGGGAGAGGCGGGGGTCTCCCAGGGGACGCAGTGAGAACCACCACAGAGGCTCCCCTTTCAGCAGCTGCTCCCAAAGCCCTCCGCCCTCCTCGCTGACTCAGGGCTTGCCTCCCTCAGTGGTCAGAGCCACACTGGCCACAGTGAAGGAGCCAGGGACACCCTGGCCACAACCTGGGCCTGGGAGTCGCGCACAAGGGAGCGAGCGGGGTGGGCTGTGGCCAGCTCCCCGTGACGCCACGCGTCCTTACCTCATCCCACTCCGAGGCGAAGGACGGCGACTTCTCCAGCCTCTTCTTCCCAACGCTGCAGTTGGACAGGGACTCGCTGCGGCTCCCCATGGCCGCGTCCTCCGTGGGCGAGCAGGTCAGGAGGTCGGAGTCGGACTTGGACAAGCTGCGGCTGAGCTTGAGTTCAACTTTGGGTTTGCTGGTGGGAAGGACTCGGCTTCTGGCCCCGCTCTGGTCTCCCTCCTCGGCACCACCGGGGTGTGGAGATGCTGTGTGAGTCAGAGTTTCGGGGTGCGGTAGGCTGTTGGCGGTGGGCAGGCCGGCTGGGTAGCCCCCTCTCTGACTCTGGTCCAGGCCGCCGGGCGGGGAGCCTCCAGGAGCGCGCACGCCCGCCTCCTCCAGCTGCATGCTGGCCTCGTGGCAGGTGCCCTGCGCGGGGGACCCTTCTGGAAGGCTCTGGCCGGGGGCAGAGAGCAGCTGGAAAGCGTCCTGCCCCGCCTCGTACACCGGGGAGGAGCCGTGGAGGAGCCCGGAGAACTGCTCGGGGACCTGCCCGTTCTGCCCCTCCGCCGAGTCCTGGCTCTGGCCGCTGCTGCTCCGCCTGTGGTCTTGAAGTGGACGGAGAGAGAAATAAAAAATTAAACGTGGCAAAAATCAACAAAGTTCCAAAGCAGCGAGCAGACGGCAGAGCAGAGGAATTCAAAAACAGAGGGGGGAGGGGGGGGAGAGAGAGAGGGAGAGAGAGAGGTGCTGAATGGGCTGGGAGAGGGCAGAGGGGGAGAAGAGCGAGGAAGGAAGAAAACAGTTTCGCATTGTTCTTATGCTCAATTTATACCCAAAGTCAGAGCATTTATGAAATTCCAAACACTGGCCTGGTTAATGCCACCTGGCAGCCTTCCCTGTTGTGAGGCTTCTGTCAGCATTAACGACCAGACCTTGCTATATAAGGCGAGAAGTGCTAACTATATCCTGCCTGGGGAAAGGACAGAGGAGAGAGTGAGCGCACAGAGAGCACAGTGAGAGGGAGGGAGAGCGTGCCAGCGAGCAAGTGTGAGCGAGGGCCGGCTCCTGGAACATCTGATAGGCTCCCATGGAGGCCAAGTGTTATTCAGAGCCGCTGCCCGCCGCCCGCCCGCCCGCCCTCTGGCGAGCAGCACGGAGGGAAGGGAAGGTCAGGATCCCAACCTGCAACTTCTGGAATTCCTTAACTGAACGTGCAAAACAAGCGGGAGAAATGACGCTTCCTTCCTCGGAGGGGCTAAGTCCACGCCTCATCCTTCCTTCTGCGGCAGCACTTTCCTCTTTTCCTGAGAATGTGCACATCTCACCGCCCCAGAGCCTCCCAGCTGCTCCGACTGGTTTAGTTTAACCCCAGTTGGTCCACTGACAACAAAACGGTCTACTCGGCCAGTGCCAGGAGGCTCCTGGGCCTCCAGACTCACACCCAGCGCCCGACGCCCCGCACCAACGCCTCTGCCCTGGAGGAGCATAAAAACTGACCAAGTCAGCGTCCAACACGGGACGCCGAGGGCTCGCCCGCACGAGCGGGCCCACGAGGAGGTTCTGACCCACGCCAGCAGGCGGAAGACAGCCCTGCATCCAGTCCCAGCACACATTCCAGAGCCAGGATTCAGCTTTATTTCCTCTGCAGTGGAAGCTATGCCCACACACCAAACGACTCCCCAGTCTGCCCAAAGCTCCCAAGAACTGTCCCTGAGATCCGAGTCTTAGATGAGAGGGTGGCGTTTGGCTGTTTTTACAGATGAGACGTGGGAGGCCCCCAGGCCGCTGGTGGTGGGTCCGAGGGGGAGGCTCTAACCCAGGCGCCTGACACTGGCTCTCCTGAGAGCTGTGCGGCCCTGGCAGTGAGTTCTACTGCCCTGGCAGTGAGCTGTGTGGCCCTGGCAGTGAGCTGTGCGGCCCTGGCAGTGAGCTCTACTTGCTGGGCTGCAGTATCCAAAATAAGTAGGTTGGACTGCACGGTCCTTCAAAATCCCTTTTATGTTAGGGTAGTGATGAGAACCCAAGTCTTCCCCATCTGCGATGGCAAACTTCTCCCCCTCCGTGGGCACTGCAGGGCCCGGCCTGGGCCTGTGTAGCACCCACGCCCCCCATCAGTTTGCCTGCAGCCTGAGAACCCTTCTTGAGGCTCAGTGCCCCGGGGAGGGGTGCCCTTCAGAAACCCGGTGCACTAAGGCAGGCCCCCTGCAGGGCACGGTGCTGGGTGCTGTGCCCCAGCGCTGCTCCCTCCAGACAACCTGAAGGCAGGGACAACACCAGCTCAGTGAACCTGTCACCCGTCACCCTGAGGTCTGCCCAGGACCAGGGCTGGCTCCACTCCCCCACCCTCTCGAGAAGAGCAGCCTGCAGAGCTGCGGGGCGGCGCGGTTAACAGCACTCTGCCCACAAGTATGAACTTTAGCGTCTCCTTCTTCTACACTCGACTGCTCCAGGACTCTCACCCTACCTCACAGGCCCTGCTCCCCAGAGGTCAGGGGCAGAGCACGGAACAAGCACAGAACAGGCCAATCAGTCCCCAGGGAGAAGAGACGCTGGGAACACAGAGCTCCACACAGCCAGGCTCAGCCCCGGACACCATGCCTCCAGGGCCAGGAGCACACAGGAACCCTGGCGCCTGAACAAAGCCGCCCTGTGCTGCCGGGTGGGGCCCGAGAGGACGGCACTTGACGTCCAATGACGATGGGGGACTGCAAAACCTGCCACCTCGAGGACTTATCCTAATGGCCAGCCCCCGCAGGTCCTGCCCAGGGTGCCTGACCCTCTGACTGCTGGACACAGGAAGGACTGTAACCGGAGCACAGGCTGCCATTTCTTTGCATCAGCTTCTAGCTTCTTATTTAACAGCTTGGGGGGAGGCTCGGAGGGGGGGTAAGTCCAACAACAAAAGAGAAACACCACAGCCCAGAATCAGGAGCCTGTGTGGCCGCGCTGCGTGGGTGGACATGCTCTGCCTGCTGCCGGGGACCGACAATGAGGCCCTGTCTAGCAGCTGCCATTCAGGCGAGCCTTCAATGAAGAAAGAGAGACCGATGCCAACAGCTCAATACCAGACTCATGCCGGGGGAAGGAAGTGGGCAGAACAGAGAAATGGAAACTTATGGAAGAAGGAAACATGTGAAGAGGAAGAATTTCTGAGGGTCATAGTCCCATTAGAGAAACCAATACTGTATGGAGCATAAGAAATCACCAGAGGACCCTCAGGCCTGACGGGCACTCACCGTGCTCCCGCCTTTGGAATGGCAAGGCTCCCACCCTCCTCCCACCTGCCCCGGCACTCCTCGCAGCCTGGCTTCTGGGGGAGAACAGAAGGGAGCAGGGCGTGCGGAGGCCCGTTTCCTCGCGCTCGCCCTCCTACACCAAGGCCAGCTGCTCCACGGAATAGGACACTCCAGCCTGCTAATCCCCAGCCCCTTCAACTTGCCACCATAATTCACTTTCCTGCACGCCATGAGCTGCTGAAGCAAGGGGTCCGCCAGGCTGCATGTAATTACTGTGATGATCCGTGGGGACCTCAAGGGCTTTGGAATAATAACATTTTAACATTTACACATTCTTAGTCACCCCTGCCCATTTAAATTAGAATGAAAAATGGGGCTCATGGGAGGACTCTCTAAGTCAAATCAATCCCCAGACCCAGAGGAGAAAGCTGGGGTTCTCCCCTTTCCCAGACTGCTCTGCTCTGTCCCATCAGGACTGAACCCTCTAATGGCTTAGGTGCTGTGTGAGCATCAGAAACCTGCTTTTGCAGGGTCACCCCACTTTCCCCAGAGGGGAGCTGCTGACTAGGTCATGCAGACAAAGGCTGGACATCGCATCTGAGCAGACAAGTAGACTGAGGCTACTCTGGTCCGTGGCGACCAGAGAAACAGAAGGGGAGGCCCCAGCTGCACCAGCCCGGCGGCTTTTCCTCTCTGGGTCTTTTTCAAAAATGAGCGGCTGGGCTGAATTCTAGGGCTTGAGGAGCATGGCTTGAACCTGTGCATAGACGACCCACGTTCCTCCCAGCTCCTGCTGTTAAGAATGTGAGCAGCAGAGCAGGGATCTGGGTGAAATGACTTAACCTCATGGCTAAAGAGGCTTTGGACCCAGCCAACCAGGGCTTAAGGCCCAGCTCTAACACCTAACGTCTTCCTCATCTACTTAACTGGGGTAAAAACAGCCCCTCCCAGAAGGTCTGTCTGGATATTTGATGACCTGAGCGTGTAAACGAACTCAGCACGTGGCTGGCCCGTAAGAAGCATTCAGAAAACGGAAGCTGCCTTCCTATCATCCTCTTCCATCTACAGCCATCCCCACTGCTCCCCATGCGGACACTGTTCGCAGAGACTGCGTGCCTTTCTCCCGACTCCGCCAAGAGCCAGGTATCTCCTGAGTGGCCCTGTAAACAGGAATAAAACTCGGGCGCCAGGGCAGGCCCAGTAGTCTTGCAAGTTTGGTTCAAGGTGACATGTCACAGTGGCCAGGGGCCTCGCCACCCTAAGCAGCACCCTCGATACAGCACTGCTCTGGGGCCCATCAACTTGTCCCGATGCCCTCAGGTCCCCGCCATGTCCTTCAGCACCTCCTGAGCCTATACACTGCCTGCTGTTGGACCTCTGGCTCCTCAAACTGCCCTGGTTACCGTATTTTTCCGTGTATAAGACGCTATTTTTTTCTTAAAATCGAGGGACAGCCGAGGAGGGAGCCATGGGTGCCTAGCTGCCCATACCTTGTCAAACAGGCTTCCTCCAATCACAAGCATGATTGTTATTGACGTCAGCTGATGCCATAATTGGAGGCGGAGGTGGCGAGTGCGCAGATGCAACAGGGACCTGAGCCCATAAAGATGTCAAAAAATAAAAAGATAAATACCAGTAATCGATTGTCTTACTCTGCAAAATTCAAACTGAATGCCATCAGCTATGCAAAAGAGCATGGAAACAGAGCTGCAGAGAGACCGTTTGGACCTCCTCCCACCGAGTGTGTGATCAGACCGTGGAGAAAACAGGAAGAGCAACTCCTTAAGATGCCAAAAAATAAGGCCGTAAGAGGAAAACCAGCAAAATATTTAAAACATTGATTTCCTAATTTTGGGTTGGAAAAGTGGGGGGCGTCTTATACATGGGGGCATCTTATACACGGAAAAATACGGTAACCCGCCAGCTCTGGGGATGTGCGACCAGCGACATCTGTGCCTGATTTAACAGCACACTCGCCACTCTGCTCCTTGATCTCCTGCCAGTTCCAACGTGGGCATGCACAGCCATGTGCTTCCTCCTCTCCGGTTGCTGGAATGTTGAGCCGAATACTCAAGAAACAACTGACTGCGTCCTCTACCCATTCCTCTAGCTCAGCTGCTTCCAATCGCTTCAATGTACTAGGAGCTAGTGATTCTGTGCTAAGTAATGTTTTTTAATAACCACGGCATCCATGAGGTAAGAATTTGTATTCCTATTTTACACGTAGAAAATGAGGCTTAAAGAGGTTAAATGACTCCTCAAAGTCATCAGCCAATGAGCGGCAGAGCAAGAAGCCAAGCCAGCCATCCTTTTGCACATCTCCTGAGAACTGTGATATCTCCTTAAGATCGATTCCTCACCTCTTCCAC